GCCTATGGCCCACGAGGCCCCCCAACGCAGGCAACGCGATCTTGCCACCGCCTCGTTGGCGCGCTGCGAGCCGCGAATCGCCGCAGATCGCCACAGGGTGATGTGGGTCGGCACCTGGGGCCTCTGTTGATATTGAGAACATGGCTGCAGGCGTGAAGTCTGAGGACTGACAAGCAATGTGTCCCTTTTCAGCAATGATTCCCAACGAACGAAGGGCAAGCGGCTTGACAAGCAATGCGTCGTTTTACGTAAGTTGCTGACCAATGGTGGTTTCAACCCACTTGAATTGTTATGGGAAATTGTACAATCATCCCAGGTAGAGGTAATACATTTTGAACACGTCAACCACCTTAAGAACAATCCCTACATTGGGGTGGTTTCAGGGCTCGATGAATAAGATTGAATAGATTCCATATAATTGCAGTGCCTGGGAATCATGTCCTGCACAAGCTGGACTTCTGGACGTTCTCCTGTGGACATACTGTACGTTGCAGAACCATCGAGGCGCGGCCATCGACAACCAGCGGGGCGTTGGACACTCTCTGGCAGAGTAGTCGGGGAAGAAGCCAAGAACCACAAGAACACCCTTCACACTTATGTACTCCAGTTCAGCGCCGCAGCTTTCTTTTCTCGGGGGATCTCAAGCATACAGCGCCCCCTCCTAAAAAGGAGAACACCCCACAGTTCGTTGATGCTTGTTGGTCTATTTCCAATCGAAGAACCCATCTGAGTCTACCGCCCAACAAGTCCCACGTGGTGAGTGCACCTGGCACCTCTCGGTGTAGAGCCATTGGCACAGCGCGTGGAGCCTGTGCCAATCAATGGAAGACAGGAGACCAAGGGGTCTCAGGTCTGCTTTCCCAAAAGAGTTCTGGCTGCGAAATTCTTTGTGACTCATTTGATATATATATATATACATACTTATAAAGTAATACATATATATATACTTATATTGTAACAATAATATGTATATTGCTTCTCTCTGACTATCGTCATACTTAGAAATCATCGGTCCGTCATTCTCAGAAATCATCGGTCCTACATGATAACTCATGACAACGGAGAATCTGGGCCAACGCATCATGTTCTTCAACGTCCACTTACATGCATCATATATTTGTCAGTATTTGTCAATTTCAGAGTAGTTGACCGGAATACATGTACCTCAATCCCACTTGGAATATCCACTTGCATACATCGTATGAGAATATCAACTTGAGTTGGTTCACCCACTTGTATACATCCTCCCACTCTGCTCTCACCCAATGTACCATCCATCAACCTGGAAGGCCGCAGAGTTGATCGGCACCTCCTCACCAAACGGCCCAGAAACACGGCCCAGTGGCCACGAACGGCTGGGTAAAAAATCTGTCCCCATCATGCGATCCAGAAATCTGCCGCTCACCCTGCTGACCCTGCTCTTCCAAGCTGCAACCCCGCGGTGTTAGCCAAACATCTCTAGCTCCAAACGCGGGTGAAACAACAAAACAAAACAACTTGGAATGAATAGCATGAACAGCCAAAAATACGAAGAATTGCTCCATGAACTGGGGGTTTGGCCTCTCTCTCTATGGCATGTGCTGAAACAATGCATTGAACGATATTGGTCAATGAAGGCCTTTACCAAACACAGTGATCATATTTCACTGACCGCTAAAAATTCCAAGAAGATCGCAAGCGTTGGCAGCAAAAATACCAATGAGCCTTGAAACACAACCGCCGACGGAAACCAACTGACCAAGTATAAGAAACAAAACAACCAACAAATAAATACTAATCAAACAAAAAAGGTGCCAAACCGTCAACTGACTTCAACTGCCCAGCCTCACCACTGTAACATCAACTAACCACCCTCAAGCTTGAACTTGATGGTAAAGTGGGGTGTTTTCCTGACACCAAAATGGTGCGGTGCATTTCTTTTAGGTTTTCGGGTGAACCAACGGGTTATGGGTGTATTTTGATGGAGGAAAAGCTTCAGGGTGTGAGGCATGGAAGAGCTCTTCCATGTCACTGAGTCGGACTTGGTCAAACCCATGGTGGTGGACTAATGGTGAAGTTCGACCCCAGGTGCTCTCATGGGCGTTCTTTTTTTTGAGCCCCCCTCTTAAAAAAAGAAAACCTGAAGGGGAACACCTGAGAAAATAGCAGCTTTGGGGCCAAGAACTTCAGCGTTTGGGGAGAAGAGACTCGAATCGACGGGTTTCACCGCGTCGACCCGACGAACGACCCACTCCTGCAGACGCGAAGGCCCCGAGGGATGCGAGGTGTCGGACCTGAACGCGGGCGCCCGGTGGATGTGAAGGGTCTATAACGGTGTACATATATATAATATATATATGAAACATCCTGAAAGAGAGATATAAAAGACTTACAGTAGATCATCCAAGATCTATGATGAGCTATGTATAAATGAAGCTATGTATATGAGATACTGTATATAACGACTTAGATCATCCAAGATCTAGTCTATTTGCAAATGAGGCTATTTGTATCTATATACATGCAGGATCATGCAGTGATGCAGGCAGTTTCAAATGTTTAAAGAACATGGACGTTTGAACCAAGGCGGTTCTGTGGTACGACTCATATAACCAGCAGAGTTGGACGTTCTCTCCGTTGCCACCTCAATGGATGTGGCACTTGGAGGAACTGGGGCCTACAGGCACCTTATGACCGATTCTGACCCAACAGGCAGCAACAGGCACACAAACAGCCTCAAACACCTCGAGAGGACAATAACATCTGTAGCTGCATTCCTGCTTACTAAGATGGAAATGGATCCGCCCCTGGTTTGTAGAGAAGTGCTTTTGCATCATTGCCATCCACTTCCATGTGAACGTCCAAGTTCCTGAGTGCGATCGTCATTCTGTCCGCCAGGGATCCCACAGCGATTTAAGCGATTTAAGCGCTAAAACGAGCTGAATTTCGGAACACATCGGGTTCGCAGCTGAAGCATTTGGTGTCATAGGATCCATACAAACTCCTGACCCTCACGACGTCGTCTTGATGGTTGAAGTCCTGGACCCTCCAAGGTCACTCTGGACAAGGGACATGACTCATGACCCTATGAACACCGGTATGCTTGTAGCCATTTTCGGAGGGACACACTGAGACTCCAGGGTGATGATGGATTAAGGTATGAAATTGTAAACCATGGATTCCGTCACATCACTTCCGTTCGCACCCCCCCTGCTTGGGTTCACCGATCCTTGTCCCCCAAGCACGAAGTCGGAGGAAGCAAAGCTCCGCCACACTGCGGCCGTTTCGCCACCGCGGCTGGGAAAACCGCGTGCATCTGATGCGTGGCGCAAAATTGGAAAGGACATCGAAAGTCGCGGCCAATGCAGCAAAGTCATAGTCGCACCATTTGAATCAAGCAAGGCTACTGGCTCCCTGATCATCCCTGACCCAGACCTTCGAATGAACACCTGAAATGAGCACCTTCGCAATGAAGTGCGCTGCTTCTTCGCAATGGCTCTGCAACTCCGACTAGGCGAAGTAGAGCAAAGTCATATCAATCCCGCCCGGCCAATCACAAAAGGCGCGTATCTCACTTCTTGACATATGGTTCATCGTCCGAAAAGAAAACACACATACATCCAGAAGAACAACACAAACACCGCAATACGCCCGATGTGGCGCTTTGGGGGCCAAAGCCAGTTCTGTGACAAGCGCTTGTGATGGAGCCTGGCCGGAAGGCAATGCAAATGCATGCCTCCTTGGACGCTTTGTCCAGGGATCTCAGCAGCAAACTCAGAGCTCTTTCACCACAAACAGGAAAGGGAATGGGTCCAATGTTTCGTCTCGCCCCCAAAGCCTGGTGTGTGTGATAACACAGTGAATCCCAGGTATCGCTGGTCATCAGCAGCATTTCTGTGACTCAGTCGAACGTGTTCCGCAATCGTTTTTCTCCTTTGTGTCAACCCATGTTCTACACGTGGGTCTTTCTTAGTCTCGCACCAGTGAAGTTGCAACCAAACACGGTCACCCCGTTGAATGGCCTAAAAGAACATCCTCGTCACATGGGACATTCTGACCGTCAAAGGGCTTGGTGTATCTCAAATGGGGAGGCAGCTCAATGGATCGGTTGATGCTCATGTATGGCTCCCTTGATTCCAAGTCATCACTCCACCAGCACCCTTCCACAGGTCTCCTCTGGTGGCTTTTGGAGACTAAAAACTGGCAGGTGGTGACCTACTGGACGTTGCTGGTATATGTATGTACATGTATGTACATGTGAGCACTCCCGAAGCTCTGGTGCTCCTGTGCCTCACTGGCTGGTGGCTCCTGCTACGAGTTCGCTACGAGTTTTGGCACCCTCGTCGGCGAGGGGCTTGCGGTCCTGGTGGACCATTCGGAGGGCCCATGTTGGGGGACTCCTCATCGGCAAGCACGGCGGCTTGGAAGCTCCAATGAAATGAGCTAAGCATTGAAGGGATGAGAGCTGATGATGCCACGTATAATATAGGTGGAATGAATTGACGAAAACGAGATATTCATCATCATCCAGTGAGGGATTCATCATTTTAAACAGTTTGGATGATCTTCCCATGTTACCTTGGTTGAACCCTGGCCCGTATCACTGCCACATCACTGGATGATGAGCTCGTCAGGCTCGCTGTAGGGGACTCCAATCAAATCAATTCCCAAGTCAATCCCATGTCCCACTTGCCTTGTTCATCCAAACAACACGAAGGTGGCTCGGCCAGCCCAGCATTTGGTGATGGAGAAGTGAGACCCTTGCATCTCACACGCCGAATGATCTTTCTGGAAAGTAGTTTACCAACTTACATCACCCTGCCAAACAAAAGGTTCGTTCTTCGTTTCATTTACCTCTAAGCTGAGCAATAGATGAAGCACCAAGTTCTGATTCTTGGAAGGGAATTTCCATGAACACCAGGAGTCCCAGGAGTCTCTACCGAATTCTTGTGTCCAATTTAATACGCTTTGGGACTCTGGCAAGCTCCTTTCTCCATTCCAGAGCTCCATCTCTTCCTGCTTCTCATCTTCCAAACCCCCGGCCCACGTCACAAAACTGTTTTCATTGCCAGCGGCAGCGAATTCGCAGCGAGTTTTTCGTCTGCGACGATCAGGTCACTTTGACCCGCAAAAGACCTGCAGGAATGTGGACACTGAATGCAGACAGTGGAGGGGCTGCCATCGCAGCATTGGCTACTTTGCTGGAGTTCAACTGTTCAACTGACTTTGCTGCTTTACACGGAATTGTGGAGATTGCCTCACAAGCCAATCTGTTCGGGGTCTACAAAGCGTGGGTTGGCGACTGACAAAAAGGTAGGCGCTTTCAGCCAGTTGGAGGAGAATGTGGAGACGAACCAAACAAACCGTAAGAGAATTCCACAGACTTCCAGGGGGTGCATTGTTATCACCTTCGACTCACAGAATCCACCATCATTCACCGGGTGAGCTTCCACAGCCACAGCATCTGAGATATCAACAAAAACATCAGCTTCTGTCAAATCTGTAAGTAAATTACATGTCATTCTATTTAATATGTCACTACTACCAGAGCAAAGCTCTCCTATAGTTCCCAGCAGTTCCCAGTTTAGGTGATATAAAATGATATAAACATATAACAATTTGTTTACAAGGACTGCACCCGTCAAAACATAAAATGGTGACAAACACATTGAACTTCCTTCTTGTGTCAGTGCAAAATGCTCATCGATGTCAACTCACAGCAACAAACATATATGATATCTGGCATGAACCAGTCAAGACGGGGATCCAAAAATCCTGGTTTGGTTTGCATGTTGGCTCATCAGCATACTGTGTTGTTGAAGAAACACATCGTCGTCCATCCCTCGAATATGACTGGCTGCAATTTTCCAAAACCATGCTTCACTCACTTGCCCTGGAAAAAGAAGGCTCCAATCACTTAGTAATCGAACATGGCCAAGAAACTGTTGGAATGCTAGAGCTGAGGATGACACACCACGACTAAATTAATGATGCTTGCAAGACACCCAGACACCTTTTGTAGGCACCAATATGCTAGGCAAGGTCCTAAAACCTTGGATTCCATTGGATTCCTATATAATATATATAGAGAGAGAGAGAGAAAGAAAGCTGAATAATGTTGAATAATTCTTACAGCTCAAATGAGATCCCGCTCCTTTAAGCTGAATTCGTCCTTTTCCCGTGTGCCTTCACGTGATCCATCGCAGACTGCACAGACAAACTTCCACCCACCGTACCCGCCATCCACCTTCCCTTCGCTCCAGGTCACGGGGAAGGGGCGATTCATCTTGCATGGCCAGCAACACGCTGTGCCGGTCCTCAACACCTGCGATCGCACGGATCGACGGATCGAGGGATCGAAGCCACCGGACGGTTGTTCGGTTGGGTGCGGACGGTTGTTGGGTTGGTGTGTACAGTTGGTGTGCGCGGGTAGGGAATGGGTGGGTTTGAATTACTAATTAGGTTTTGAAGCCATGAAACCCGACAAGTCATCAGTGAGGGTTGCGTGATTTGCTGCATGCCACATATTGAAACTGCAAACACCACATGGTGTATAGCCACAGTTTTGGCAATAACATGCTATAACTTACCTTCTGGCTAAACACAAAACACAATGGACAACATTTCATCGGAAACGTGGAAACGGCCGAACATACACCGGGTACCTGGCTTGCAGTGGAACCACAACATGTCTATCAAAAGCAGGTCATGCGAACACATACCCCCTGGATTCTTCTCGAAGATCAACATGGACCTTGAACACCACTGGTTGTGTAGTTGTGTAGAGGAACAAACATCTGTCAGGAGGCCATTGTCACTGTCCGGTCCATGTTTTTTTTTGGGGGGGGGAGGGTATTGATGCAAACGAGTGTCGGAGCAAAACAAATACCTTGCTTCTTCACGCCCTTTGTATGTCTCATGGGTGGATCCATGTGGATCCAATATCCTCAGATCCTTCCAAAAAGTAGTCACCCAATCTAAAGACCCATCGAAATCATTCTCCTTCCTTTCGTTCCTCCTCTCACCCCCCGAAATGGCCCAAAAGGGTGGATCCACCTCAGATCTCACTGTTGGAACAAGGTACAGGCTCCACGGAGCGTCTCGCCCTGTAGTTGGGGCACAGTCCATGTGCCCTGCAAGTGTCCAGACTCGTTTAGCAACTCCTGGGAGAGGAGTTTGAAAATCCTGGTCAGATTGAACATCTCATTGACCACAAAATGACGATCAACGACTCTTTTCAGTGCGTAGAACCCAGGGGCGCGGATAAAACCAAGTGGTGGCGGCCGGTGTGCTGGATCAGATTTCGGGTATGTTGAAGGAGTTAAAGGATGCGACGGGGCAATTGGGAAGACACGAGCGTCTTCCTGGCTTCCTGTGATCCAATCCAGTTTTCTTGTTTTGTGGGAAGCACATTGAGATTGCAGAAAGATCTGAACCCCAACGAAGGGCATTCAGTGACGTCAAGCTTCAATGGAGAAAACGCAGCAAACAGGAATCCAAACCATTTATTAAACGGCCTTCTCTGTGGAAGATTAGCCTCGATTGCCATGTCAAGCATGCTCTGGGCAAGCTTGCTGAGAACCTATGCATGGTTTAAAACATGATTGGCGGCTATATCAATTGAACGTAATTACTGGATCTATCTCAACTGATATTCTATGGCCCCCTTGCTGGTAAGCAGGACACCTTCAGCATCCTAGATGGCACAATAGAATAGTTGAACATGGAAATCTAGTAGCAAGGACGCTACTGGGTGGCCATCGCTACTAGGGTGGAGGCCATTCCTACTAGTAGCAAGAAGCAATTAGTAGCTATTTGCTCCTAGTAGTAATGCCATGAAATGCCCTTTCTGAAGTCCCACTGGGCGTCTCGCACGCCGTAGGCACCGATGACATCTTGACGTGCAATCAAGCATCAATGACGCTTTTCTTGGAGAAGAAAAAGAACAGGTTTCCTTAGTCGAGCTTTCAGGAACACGCTGTACATGCCAGGTAAGCTTGAGAGGTAGAACAGGAATGCTTTACACACTTGAAATTTCACCTGCTGTGGTTTAAGAATCCTTGTTACCAGGACAGAAAACGCCTTAGTGGCCAAGTTATCAAAGTTGCATCGTGGAAAACATGTCTGTTTTCTGTGTGTGTCCGGTGTCCAAATCTGTAAACCGGAAAGTGACCTATATATCTTTCTGTTAGCTCCTCCACCCCCTGTATATAGGGAAAAATGAGGCAAAACAGAATCCACCCTGCAAAACCAAACCGGAGCCACTGGCTCTCAGTGTGCTCACAATGGGGTGAGCATTAGTGAGCATGGAGCGTGACTCCTGAAAAGTCAATAAACATGGACTTCCGCACGAGTATTGACAAGCGTCCCAAATCCCATCCATATTCCCAAACCATCCATGAAATCGTTACCCTATACTTACAGTATACATTGGGGTCATACCATTATACTAACAATTACATGCATGGAATACCTCCATTATCCCATGAATCCCATACCATAAATATAACAATTTCGGTCCCCAAACAAGTCTGGTCCGGCCAGTCCTCCAGTCCACTCGTAGGCAATCCCGGTGGCCCTGAGCCGTCGGCCACACATCGAAGGTCTTCAGATCCTTGTGGAGCGAAGTCATGGGCATCTCCAAACGACTTCGCTCTTGGATGAGATCTGTCCCATCCCAGTAGTAGAGCTCCTGTGAAGAGTCCAGAGACGGGCCAGGGGTACCGAAAACAGGGGATGAGCAGCTCAAAAAGCTCAGAGACCTTGGTGTTTAGGTCTTTTCTCCTTCTGCAGTACCGTATGACTGAGAAACCTATACAGAATCTTGTTCACATCTGCCACGACAATACACGAAGCGCATGTGTTCGGGAGGTATCTGTTGCGTACCAGGCGTGTGCCCTGCACAAAGTAACACCACTTGGGCGGGAAGGGGATGTTTAACGCACTGCAGTCCAAGGTTGATGGACGGGGGAACAAGTGATTCAGAAGCCATTCATAACAGGGAAAGTCTCAATAAGATCCCCAAACAACAACACGGTACACTGCGTGTCTTTCTTCTTAATTAGAGTACATTCGATGACACCGGCTGGTGGCATGGTGACAAACTCAAACAAATACATCAAGCCACAGCCCAGTGGCGTAGAACCGCCCGCTCCGAGAATTACCATGGAAGGCTAGCCGTCATCTTCGTCTCTCCATCTTCTCTCCTCGTTGCTCCAAGAGATGGCGTTGACCTTCTCCGATTTCGCCCAAGGATACTCTTGACTGGAACTGCAGTTCACCTAGAGCCACGAGGCTGTTGCCGTCGATGGCCCACATGCACGTGTATCGTTTTGACGCAGGGTGAACGCATGGCCCAAAAAGAAAGCACCCATCGCGCAATAGCGAGCGATGGTGTAAAGAAATGGCACGACTGACTGCACATGCCAATGATATGCATCAATTCATGGAAGTGAACCAGTGGGGAAGTGATATGTGAAGAACTGCCTTACATACCAAATCACTTGAACAACAACACACATCGACGTTTATTCACCAGATTTAACCGGCATGGGATCCGCGATTGTCTTTTTTCCGCTTTGACGTCATAGCCAAGAAATTCACTTATCAGATTCAATTGGCAAACAATCAAATCTCTCTGGTTGCCTGCACCTATCGCTTTGCGGTGCTTGGGGAGGTTCCGAATTTAGAGATACACTGAAGAAGAACAAAGTGCAGGCAGGATGCGATATAGATTATAAGTTTATAAGACAACGTTTCCCCGCACCTGAGCAACCTCAACAAGACTGGACCTTCCAAGACTCCTGAAAGGACACTACGTGGCCAGTCATCGGGTTTGAATTGTATGTAATACCATGTGGCTGGTTGATCCGGAAACTGGATTCCTGGATGGGGAAAGGACCAAGCTCTCTACTTTCCGCATAATTCCGCATATATGTCACTTTCAAGTGGAACATGGTAAAGAAAATAGTTGGCAGGAGCTAAACACGTCCATAGAAGTCAGTGTACACGAGGCATCACATCATGTCCAATTCCACAGGTCAAGTTCTTGTATCGGCAGGAGAATGTTGTGTGTCAAGAAAACCGAACATCTGAATATCTCAAAATTTGATCCCCAAGGCAGGCAAACATGGTGCTGCAGTGCTGCAGAATACTTAACCTTCCAAGGATCCGTTTCTGGCATGTTCTGACATGTAGTTGCAATCATCATGTGAGCCACCATCCGCTGACGAAACCGCCAACATCTCATGAACCGAACCGAGCGCCGGCGCACTGCATCCAAGGGACCAAACCATGCGATGTCAGGGCCAGGTTCCAACAGGATTCGCCGCATCCCGCGGTCATGTCCCGAAGGTCTCCTCGACTTGCTGGAGCCAATTAAGACATGTGGTGCTGACATCTGGTGACCATGTGACGTGGTGTGAACCTGCATCTCAGCTTCGGACAATAGGAAACAGCCCTTGGTGATACCATGAGACGTTGAATCCCTATGAACATGCTAGACCTAACCTCCTTGCCTCTCCAAAAAGAAACCTTCTAGATAAATCAATTAGCAAAGTGTTCAAACGTGTTCAGCATTTGGAGCTTCTGGTGTTTGGGTGTGGACCTGGCGCTGTATGGTGCTTTGGAACCAATTGAAGACCGGCTTCAGACCAGGTCCCATGTGCGCCACGGTGTAGAAGCCCGTTGAGAAATTGAGCTAAGGGATGCTAAGTGCCTTGACTTCGAGTATTCAGTTGAAATCAAATGTTGGGACACTCTGCTGGCCCTTTCAGGGAATTCTTCATCTGCTTAGCCGCTTAGCCTGGATGCTTGGATGAATCTCCAGAGAATCCGAATGACGAGGGCCTCAAAGACCTATTTTGTTTTTGTTTCAGGTGTAGGAGAACATCCGGCAATGGAGGTCATTTGTTCGCAAATGATTGCTCAGTTTACTTTGTCCTCGCACCCAACAGCAGTTATGTTTAGGTTTACGGTTAATTTACGTTGTTATGCTTGCACTGTTGTTGGCCCCCGATCCAGGTGCTTCTATGTTTCAAAAAAAAAGAACAGAAAGTGGTCTGTGTGAGGTCATTGGTCACTCTGCGTCATCGCTTGGCTCCTGCCAGATTGACGCACTGCAAAGGTTCCACACGATTGTCCTCGATGCGATAGATGCCCAACTTGTTGGAGATGAAGCTCTCGCCACCTGCAGCTGGGCGGAGCTGGTCATGGGCCCTGACTGGGGTGTGGTTCTGTATTTATGCTTACTGGAGGTCTGACAGCCATTCACTTTAACCAGCTTGCTGATACCAAAGCTAAGTGTTGTTTAACATGGCACACGTGAACTGGTTCGGTCTATCCTTCTTAATCATCGCTCGCAACACCAACATATTATCATCAGAATCATGATTATGCATCTGAATCTCAAGGCGGATGCTATACCGGCACAAACCCCAACTAGCCTTTCGGATACAGCTCCATACAGTTTCCAAAGTTTGAGTATGGGCAGGATCTTCCCTGGTATGTGCCAGAAACACGCACCCAGCATCTTAGTGGCTTGAAGGTCTCTTTTTTGGCTTGAAGGGGGCCACAAAGTACTAGTCACGAAGAATCAACTCACCCTGAAGCCACTCAAAACCACACTGCTTGGTGAAAAAGGAGGACTTGAACGACTGGAACGACGACTGGAAACCGTTGTCGCGGAGGCGTCCTCGCTCGCCCCAGAGCTGCGGGGCTTGGCCGTCCCCTGCCTGCACAACTGAGCGCATGAGCGTGGAAGACGTGGCTGGGCCACTCCAAGTCGAGCTGCTCTGGGACGACCATCACCGACTGCCGCTGGGCGGCGTAGTAGATCATCCAGATCTGGGCGCTTCGTTGGAAACGATGTCGGGGTGCTTCGTAGTAGGTCGATGGTCCCAACATGTCCCAACAGTAAGGGGCAGTCCTTTTGGAGGATAGGACGATCTACATTGTACATTCTGTGGAACTTGAAGTAGACAGGTAAACCAACGATCCCATCGCTTCAGTACAGGGGAAGCCATTCCCAAAAAAGTGATGTGTAAACTGATATGTGATGCACAGGTCCGGTGAGACATACCGTGGTACAGGGTCTTTCCCCTCTGTATCTTTCAAGCCTTGGGGCCCTGTCCTGCTATGACAAGGTCATGAGACAAGTCTACGTTTCCCTGAAAATGTCGCATGGTCCGAGCAGCGCAAAGGCTCAACCAGGGAGCACCCGCCACGGCGTGTCCTCGCATGAGGCATCATGAGGCGGCTCGCTCGAGGAAGAGATCAAACAATCGATTGCCGAAAAACTAATAAGGAGATTTTGAAGAGATTTACCCACAGGGACCAACATCAACATCACCCTAGGCCCTAGGCAAAAACAGGCAGCTGAAGGTGGAAATTGCACTAGGCCGGTCGTTTGCGTGAGGTCTCGTAATCCGGTCCAAAATTGTTGCGGTCTCGTAATCCGGTCGAAGTCACGGACTCGCTGAGGAAGGGAGGCGTCCCCCTGTTCGGACTGGTCCCTTGGTGTTTGGGACATCTTTCTTGTCCTAAGAGCCGACCAAACCGGGTCTCATTCCGATGGAACGACGTGGCGAGGACTCGGCCTACCGGACGGTGGATTCCACACTCGGAGGAGATACGAGGAGTTAGGACGTGCCAAGGAGTGTACTCGGAGTGTACCCCATTCACGAATCATAGTCACTCCGACTCACTAACATATATATATACATTTCTTTCCAAGGTTGACTCTCGTAGCTACGGTGGTCCGCACA